CCCATAGCTTGGGAGATCATTTATCATGATGTTAAATACAGTAAACCTCGCATAAGTCAGATTTCCTATGTCTGATCTTTGCTCAACTTGGATCCAAATGCTCGGTTCATTTGATTTAATTCAGGCTTTTTTCCTTCGCCTAAGTCGGATAGGCAGTATGTTCAGAATTTGACTAAGTCAGTTTCATACCGATGGCCTAAAACGCGGTTAGGTATTCCATGCACAGAGCCCCAAAATATTTTCCCCTATTATTTTGTCTCAAATCCGCCTATTTGACTCGATGCAATAATAGAATTTTCTCTGTCAACAACAGACAATAACAGACATGATAATTTCATGGGCATTATAATACATGGACTGAATGCATGCTGCACAAGACAGGGAAGTTGGCTGTGACTTTTTACGAGTGATAAACTGCCAATGTAATTTTAATAAAATACCGTTTTATAAAGAAGAAAACAATCTGACGGACAAAATGGCCGCCTCTCATACGCAAACAGTGTAAAAATATGGTATATCAAGGTTGTGGGCCCTCTAGAGGTCACAATTTGATCCGATTTTGATGAAACTTGAAATACATGTTTATAACCCAAAGATCTTGGTTCCTTTCGATATTTGTGCATATCGGATCCTAACTTCCTGAATTATGGCCCTTGATTTTACAAAAAATCATGTTTTTAGCTTGTGGTCCCTTTAGAGGTCACAATTTTTATCCGATTTGAAAAAAACGTGTGAAATAACACCATTACACACTAAGATCTTGGTTCCTTTTGATAATCACGCATATCCGAAGGTAATTTCCTGAATTATGGCCCCTGAGTGTTTGAAAAATCATATTTTTAGCTTGCGGATTCTCTAGAGGTCACAATTTTTTTTTCAGATTTTAAAAACCATAATGAAGGTTGAATTCAAATTTCGGGAAAATTGAAAAGAAACCGCCCAACAAAATGGCCTCACTTTGTTCGCAAATTGTGTAAAAGTATGTAATACGAAGGTTGTGGACCCTCTAGAGGTCACAATTTTTATCCGATTTTGATGAAACTTGAAACATATCTTTAAATCCCAAAGATCTCAGTCCCTTTTGATATTTGCGCATTTCAGACCATAACTTTCTGGATTATGGCCCCTGATTGTACAAAAAATCATGTTTGTTTTTAGCCTGTTCTCTATCCATCTCTTGCAAAATGTGGGCGTATCCTGCCTGGCAGCCGCTGGTTCCGAAATGGGGTGTTTCTAAACCGGTGCACCCAGAAAAATGAAAAAAATGTCAATAGTAAATAGTATCAATATGTTCTGCATGTCTGCTGTCTACAGGGTGTGGTCTGAATTCGTAATCATGAGAATAGAACATGTATCCGTGTTGGAATGGTAAGCTGAATTTTTTTTCGGCTCTATCAATGTTTATTCGAGTTTAACAAGTTCAAATGATTGAGGGGTTGGGGTGGGGGTGTGTGTGTAAATTTGATATATATTATTTGTGTACTCCAAGCTGGTATCGTTTTCCAGTTGGTAATCATAAGTAGAACATTTATCCGCGTTGGGATGGTAAGCTGAATATCCTTTTCGACGTCTATTCGAGTTTAACAAATTCAAATATTTTTAATTTAAAAATTAGAAAAAACACCCTTTTGAATTTTTGATATGTTATAGTACACCTACTCATTAACCAACAATAAAGATTTCAGCCGAATCCATTCAGTCTCACATCGATTTTTGTTTAGTTTAAAAAATAGATGCAAAATATGATATTTCCGTGCATGTGCACTCAACAAAAATTCTGATCTCTGATTTGAGACCAGATTTGGAATCAGCGTATAGGTTTAGATATAACTACCAAATTTCAGCTTGATACTTCAATTAATTCTTAAATTATTGACATTTTTTTCATTTTTATACGTCCACATTCATAATGTGGACGTATATTGCCATCACCCCTGTGTGTGTGTTTGGGTGTGTGTGTGTCTGTGTGTTGCCTACAGGCCACAATTCTTAAGTGATCATCTTCAAACTTTACACACTTATTCCTTATACCCTAAGGATGATCCCTATTTTTATTGGTGCAGTCCCGACCCCCAGGGGCAGAGCCACGCCCATTTGTTGTATTTCTTTGTTTTTCATCAACAGGCCGCATTTCTTAACGTATCATAATGAAACTTTGCATACTTATTCTTTGTACCCTAAGGAACATCCCTATCGTTTGGGTTGCATGCCCTACCCCCAGGGGCAGAGCCACGCCCATTTTCTTTTTGTGTGTCTGTGTGTCGCCTAAAGGCCACAATTCTTAAGTGATCATCTTGAAACTTTACACACTTACTCCTTATACCCTAAGGATGATCCCTATTGTTTTTGGTGCATGCCCGATCCCCAGGAACAGAGCCACGCCCATTTCTTGTATTTGTTTGTTTGTCGTCTGCAGGCCGCATTTCTTAATGTGTCATCTTGAAACTTTGCATACTTATTCTTTGTACCCTAAGGAACATCCCTATCTTTTGGGGTGCATGCCCAACCCCCAGGGGCAGAGACACGCCCATTTCCTTTTTGTGTGTCAGTGTGCCGCCTACAGGCCACAATTCTTAATTGATCGTCTTGAAAAAATTTCGTATGAATTCCTTATACCCTATGGATGATCCCTATTTTTTTTGGTGCATGCCCGATCTCCATGGGCAGAGCAACGCCCATTTCTTGTATTTGTTTGTTTGTCGTCTACAGGCCGCATTTCTTATCGTATCATCTTGAATCTTTGCATACTTATTCTTTGTACCCTAAGGAAATTCCTATCGTTTGGGGTGCATGCCCAACCCCCATGGACAGAGCCACGCCCATTTGTTGTATTTCTTTGTTTTTCATCTACAGGCCGCATTTCTTAACGTATCATAATGAAACTTTGCATACTTATTCTTTGTACCCTATGGAACATCCCTATCATTTGGGTTGCATGCCCTACCCCCAGGGGCAGAGCCACGCCCATTTTCTTTTTGTGTGTCTATGTGTCGCCTTAAGGCCACAATTCTTAAGTGATCATCTTGAAACTTTACACACTTATTCCTTATACCCTATGGATGATCCCTATTGTTTTTGGTGCATGCCCGATCCCCAGGGACAGAGCCACGCCCATTTCTTGTATTTGTTTGTATGTCGTCTGCAGGCCGCATTTCTTAATGTGTCATCTTGAAACTTTGCATACTTATTCTTTGTACCCTAAGGAACATCCCTATCTTTTGGAGTGCATGCCCAACCCCCAGGGGCAAAGACACGCCCATTTCCTTTTTGTGTGTCTGTGTGCCGCCTACAGGCCACAATTCTTAATTGATCGTCTTGAAAAAATTTCGTATGAATTCCTTATACCCTATGGATGATCCCTATTTTTTTGGGTGCATGCCCGATCCCCATGGGCAGAGCAACGCCCATTTCTTGTATTTGTTTGTTTGTCGTCTACAGGCCGCATTTCTTAACGTATCATCTTGAGTCTTTGCATACTTATTCTTTGTACCCTAAGGAAATTCCTATCGTTTGGGGCGCATGCCCAACCCCCAGGGACAGAGCCACGCCCCTTTCTTGTATTTGTTTGTTTGTCGTCTACAGACTGCATTTATTAACGTAATATACTTAAACTTTGCATACTTATTCTTTGTACCCTAAGGAACATCCCTGTCGTTTGAGGTGCCATGCCCTATCCCCAGGGGTAGAGCCATGCCCATTTTCTTTTTGTGTGTCCGTGTGTCGCCTACAGGCCACAATTCTTAAGTGATCATCTTGAAACTTTACAGACTTATTCCTTATACCCTATGGATGATCCCTATTGTTTTTGGTGCATGCCCGACCCCCTTGGACAGAGCCACGCCCATTTCTTGTATTTGTTTGTCATCTACAGGCCGCAATTCTTAACAGATCATTTTGAAACTTTGCATACCTATTCCCAAGGATGCCCCCTATTGTTTTTTGGTGATTGCCCAACCCCCAGGGACAGAGCCACACCCATTTGTTCTTTGTGTCCCTGTGAGTTGCCTACAGGCCACAATTCCTAATCGTCTTTGAACTTGGGATATGTATTCCTTATAGTTGTACATGAACCTTAAAACCACCCTGATATTTTTCTTTTTCAATATCAGGGTGGTTTTAAGGTTCATGTACAACTATATCCTTGTCATCACACGGTGCTTTTCAGGTCTTTGATGTTAAATATGTCTGTTAATTGGTTGAACTCTTCTAATGATTAGTAATAAGAATGGTTTCGCATTGTACATATATATAGACCCTCAAGTTTACTAAATGTCATTGTGCTTGATAACGATAAGAGAATACTTATCGAAACGTTGTGCTTGTGTATAATAAACCAGTGATTGTTGTCCCATATAACTGTATAGTTTTGTTTTAAAATCTTTAATAGTCGGAATTTTTGGAAAATATTTTGGATCGAGAGGTTTCATTAGGCAAAACTTCCATAACGGTGGGTGGGTTCTCCCGCTAATCGAATTGACATGGAATGACCCAATACTGGTTTTAGTCACTCAAAAGATTATAACTGAACAAAGCTCCTTTATCTCAAAGTAACCATCATTTACTCCAAATGAAGTCATGTCAAATAACGCTTGCCATATCTGTTATACATTTACGTAATTGTATAATGTTAATTGAGAAATTCTGTTTTTCACAGTGAAAAAAAAATATTTAAGTATGCAAAACGTAAAGATTTGGTCTATTTAGCTTGTTTGAAGGTTTCAGATCAAATTATTGAGCCATTTGGAAATCATCACAGCTCTCAATCAAATTTCTATATACCACCATTGAAGTGTGGTCACCGTTCTCTGTAGTCAACAGACTGCCATTTATTATGCGATCTTTATAAAAACTTTATATATTATTTGCATTAGTGAGACAAAGAAGCCTGTTTATGATTCCAAAATGATTTCTGATATTAATTCCAAGAGGTTTTGCCCATTATTTGGAACATTTATAAAGATTGCTGAGTTACCATATGTTACTATTGTGACTACTTTCAGTGTAATGGCAGTACCAGCTACTGTTGTATATTTTACATGTTATGAGCAACTGAAGGGTGTTCTCTTATATAGAGATGGTAATGTTAGTGATTGGTGGAAACCAATAATAGCTGGAGTTTTGGCTAGAAGTAAGTGAAAAGTTATAGAAAATAACAGTAGATGTAGTTTACAGGGGCGTAAAAACAGGAAAAAAATACTCGGTAGCAAAATAAAAGCCATCGGTCGCAAAATAAGTGCAGTCAATCTCAAAATAAGTGCTCACTGAATTAATGAGGTAAATAATGCCAAATAGAAGGGAAAATCCCAAATATGTATTTGCGTGAATCCGTGCACCTAAATTGCATACGTCAGGCTACGCAAGCAAAATGTTTTTACACTTATTCTGTTATGAGTATGTTAGTCGAAGGAAAAAATTCCCCAAAGGGAGAAAAATAGTCAGTCTCACAATAAGTGCAGTCACTGCAGTCAGTCTCAAAATTATGCATCGGTGACTAGATCAATTAATGAGGTTAACAGACAATGTTGGTCTAAGAGAAATGTTTTCCCCTGAGGGAAAGAAAATAGTCAGTCTCAAAATAAGTGCTCACTGCAATTGGTCTCAGACTAAATGGATTAATGAGGTAAACAAACAATGCCAAAATAGAAGAGAAAAATTTTGTGTGAATCCGTGCACCTAAATTGCAACGGTATAGTATAAAATAATCCAGTCAACTTGTCATGCTTGAAGAAAAAAAAATCCCTGTAATGAGTATGTTGGTCTAAGAAATTGAGAGAGCTTGTTACGAAGAGTTTGATAATTCAAAATATATTCTTGATTGTCATATGAATAATATTAGTCAAACAGTTGGCAAGAAGTTATCGTTATCGGAAGCATAGTTGGTTTCAGAAATACTTAAAAAAAAATTAAATTATGAAATGTTAAGGCGATCTATTGAACTTAAGAATTTTTATTACTTGTTGCAAATTTAGCCCAAGTAGAAATTAAGAATGCGTTTGCGAGAGAACCATGCAGGGACTGGCACATGGTGGGTGACCGATTTTCACCATTTTTTTTATGTATGATGGGTAACCCCTCCAAACCCCACTGCCACAGTTTTAGATCAATCAAACCATTTTTAGAGTAGAAAACTATTTGAAATTTTAAGACCGAAAAAAGCCAAAAAATCATCATTTTTAGGTCACTTTTCAATTATGGCTTACAACTAAACTACAGCGAGTAGATTAATAAAATTTTATAGGGTAGCAGATATGGTTAGTAAGTATACATTCTGAAAGTTTGATGGACTTCATTCAGCAGTCTTTGGTATAGAGACTTAGTGCTGTAAGGTACCAAATTAGTTCAATTTAGGTATGTCATTTTATTCTATCTATATCTCACCCACTGCGGGTTTAAGTATTTTTTGGGAATGCTGACTGAAAAGGCAATGATCTATAATATTAAGATCAAGAAAAAAATTGGGTGGCACTTGACCCGTTTTGTAGTAAATAATTTCCATTTTTGTCCAAAAATAACGATTTTCAACAAAAATGACGAAACATAAACTGCTTTATTTACACATTGAAAAGTGTAACATGGCACTGGAAACCAAATTCTAAATTAACGTGGGTTCCAGTTCAATTAAGAGCAAGCCATAATAGAAATAGAAATAAACAAGTAAATATAAACGCATTATATACTTTCATCAAATAATTCACGTTTAAAAAATGTTCCATTATCAAAACTACAAATACTTATTACCAATAAGTATTTCAAATTAAAAAATATCGCTATACTTTACTATCTACTATCTATCTAATCATCTATCTATATCTATCTTTCTATCTATCTGTTTATCTGTCTAATAAGTATCTAATCACGAAAACTGAGCTCACAATTACACCGTTAAAATTTTGAAAATCTTAATTTACTGTAAATGCCAAAAGAGCTATTCTTGGTAAATACAATTAATCTCTCTAGACTATTTTTCAACATTTTATTAATTCGGCAATATAATCTCATGATCTAGTAGAAGGATGATGAATTTTTGAACAGCAAATCGTAAAAACTTAATAGTGTAGTAGTCATGTACATCTGTCTATACTTTACAAACGAATTGAGCGATATTTCAAAAAGACAAAAACAAAGTATATGAGCGTAAGGTCACTATGGTAGCGCACTACCCGCAGTTTTTAGTTTGATTAGACCTAATCCCACTCAGCACTGCCGTAATGAAAGCAAATTTCTGTTCCAAATTATGCCTAATCAATAGTCCGATTAACAACCAATACCTAACTGCGTAACAATATCATTCGAGTTTAAACAGAGCTCTAAATATGTTTACATAACGTTACGTCATGATTTACGAAATTTATTACGCCCAATTAACCAGTGCATAGCAGAATATTGCAGAAAAACTAATTGCGTGATAAACGAGGCTATCAATACGGCTACAATGTAAAGAATACTGTTTGGAGACAGACAATACTTTCACCGTTTTTTATACGCCCACATTTAAATGTGGTCATATATTGTCGTCACCCCCGTCCGTCCGTCCGTCCGTCTGTCGGTCCGGCGTCCACAATTGCTTGTGGACGCTCTAAAGGCTAAAGTTAATATTCGATTGACTTTAAATTTATACACAGTGTTTAAGTACTTGAGACGAAGAAGCCTATTGATTTTCAACGATTTCCGATAATTACTGCCAGAGTTGTGGCCCTTGATCACTTCAAAAAATCTTGTGGACGCTCTAGATGCCTAAGTTAATATCAGATTGAATTTAACTTCATACACAGTGGTTAAAGTCATGCGACGAAGAATCCTATTGATTTTTAGCAATTTCCGATAATTACTGCCAGAGTTATGGCCCTTGCTCACTTTGAAAAATCTTTTGGACGCTCTAGAGGCCAAAGTTAATATCCAATTGACTTTAAATTTATACACAGTGTTTAAGGTCATGAGAAGATGAAGCTTATTGATTTATAGCAATTTCCGATAATTACTGCCAGAGTTATGCCCCTTGGTCACTTTGAAAGATCTTGTGGACGCTCTGGAGGCCAAAGTTAATATCCGATTGACTTTAAATTTATACACAGTGTTTAAGGTCATGAGACGAAGAAGCCTATTGATTTTCAGCGACTTCCAATAATTACTGCTAGAGTTATGGCCCTTGATCACTTTGAAAAATCTTGTGGACGTTCAAGAGGCCTAAGTTAATATCCGATTGACTTTAAATTTATAATCAGATTTTAGTGTATTATAAATGTTTCATTACCGATAATTAAAAATATGCAACAACTCTTGTTGACTGCCCGGACGATTTAGCTGCTGTGGGCGTATGTTTCGTTGCCTGGCAACCTATCTTAATACCTTAAATCCCTGTCCAAAGTTTTAGGGAAGACCCCAGATTAAACGAAAGACTGTATTTGGGAGCGATTTGATTAAATGGGAAGAATAGACCCCCCCCCCCCAAAAAAAACCCCATAAGTATTAGAAGTTAATCCAGCAATGGCCAGAGCGGTATTTCTCGGGCTATTGCTTCAGGAATATGCTATTGTAGGTTCTTTCGGATAACTGGCTACTAAACCGTATTTTATTTGTGCAAAAGACAGGGAAATGAACAGCTGATTTATATAGCGCACGTACTCCATGTACAGAGGCATGTCCACTGCGCATACACTTAAATTAATTTAATTAATCCTGATAACAAGATGAGTTTTAAGTCTTGATGTAAAACAAGAAAGGGTTTAATGATGATTTAATGATTGTTCCGCAGTTTAGGCGCATTCACTGAGTACGATCCGTATCCAACTGATTTTAATTTGCACCTTGAGCAACACAACTGATGAAGGTTTGTTCGGCCGGAGGTTACGCGAAGGAACTTTGCATAAGGTTAGATAAGTATAGTTGCGTTAAGCCATTCACACAATGATACGTCAAAGAAAGACTTTTGAAGATGATTCTTTCATGAATTGGCAGCCAATGGAGTGATTTCAGAACAGGAGTAATATGAGAGTATTTTGATGATCTGGTAAGAATTCGAGCTGCGGTATTTGTACAAGTTGATTTTTATACGTCCCTGTCCGTCCGTCCGTCCGTCCACAATTGTTTGTGAACAGTCTACAGGTCACAATTTTTATCCGATTTCAATGAAACTTGAAATATAGGTTTATCACCCTAAGATCTCGGTTCTTTTCGATATTGGCATGTATTGGACCCTAACTTCATGGATTATGGCCCCTGATTGTATGAAAAATCACGTTTTTGGCTTGTGAACACTGTAGAGGTCACAATTTTTATCCGATTTGGTTTAAACTTGAAATGTATGCTTATAACCCAAAGATCTCGGTTCCTTTTGATATTCGCGCATATCGGACCGTAACTATCTGAATTATGGCCCCTGATTGTACAAAAAATTGCGTTTTTAGCTTGTGGACCCTATAGAGGTCATAATTTTTATCCGATTTAAAAAAACGTATTATTATATCACCGTTACACCCTAAGTACGATTGAGTTCGAATTCTGTGAAAATCAACCTAAAACTGACAGACAAAATGGCCGCCCCTCGTTCTCAAATTGCGTAAAAATATGGTATATCAAGGTTGTGGACCCTATAGAGGTCACAATTTTTATCCGATTTTGTTGAAACCTGAAATGTAAGTTTATAACCCAAAGATCTTGGTTCCTTCCGATATTTGCGCATATCGAATTGTAATTTCCTGAATTATGGTCCTTGATTGTAGGAAAAATCACTTTCGTTGTTTTCTATCCATCTCTCAAAAATGTGGGCGTATCCTGCCTGGCAGCCGCTGGTTTTTAATATTGGCACTAGATGTTTCTATTAACAGGCTGTTACAGTAGTCAATCCTTGAGAATACCAAGGAACATAAAAGGGTAGCAGCTGCTTCCTGGCTAATATAAGTGTCTTATGCGGCCAATGTTCCTCGATCGAAGATAACAGTTTCGACAAATTTCACTAATTTGGCGGTCCATGCTCAAATTGGACCCTAAGAGGACACCTAAATTCTTCACAGTGTCTCATGGTACAAATATTGCATCTCGTACAACCATATCATTTGAGAGAGAGACTAACATATGGTTTTAATTTTATTTACATAATTCGCTTGCGCGTAGGGGTCTTTAGCAGTGGGA